ATTTTAACAGAAATAAGTGTTTACATAAAAGTAATCTTTTATTAACCTCATTAAGTCACCAATAATGAACAAAAACACATAACACAGTATCTGAACTCCTCATGTTAGATTCTGTTAAATAACAAAACAGAAACCTAAATAAGAAAAGCTTGATCCCGCAAATCACCCCAACATCTGTCTAGTTCCTTTTTGTGTCTCAGCTCCAACATACAAAGCATCAAAACACCCATATTTCTATAGAAACCCATTTGATTTGTATCGCTGTCTGTTTAATTACATAGATAAGAAGCCCCGGATCATCACACTACCACCACCATGTCTGACCATTGGTTTTATTTACCTTTAGTGTTAATTTTATTCCACATGGACTGGGACACACCTTCCAGAAAGTTTTGCTTGTGTCACGTCAGGCCAGAGAATATTTACCCAGAAGTCTTTGGGAGCATTAGAGTTTTCTTTTGGCAAACGTGAGACAGGCCTCTGTAGATCTGGTCATGATTTTTTCATTTGTGGTAGTGATCGGGTCCGGGTGTGCTGGGTGGAACTTAACCAAGCTTCAGAAATAATGTGATCAATCAGTTAATTCATCAAAGAAAGCCAGATTTTTCGCCCAGGACCACATTGGTTTCATCATTGTCATCATCATCATCATCATCAGAAATCTGGGAGGGACATACGCGTGTTTGCGGTTCTGTATGTTACTAGAATTAATACATTATTAAACCTGCAGTCTTGTTGATATCTCTAGGTTGGTTTGTAAATTCCTTCATGCTGAAATACTTTTATTATGTGCCCACAGGTGGACAAGGAGAGCATTACAGTCTAGGTGAGTGAAGTCTGATTTAACACTTCTGACCAAAAACACCTAACAAGTCATTACTTAGATGTTTATTTTATGCTAATTAAGTGTATTTGTGTATTCAATGCTATAAATTGTTAGCATCAAAATTTGTTAAGAAGAGACGCAGAGACAAGTAAATTCTGATTGAGATAACTAAACTTTATCATCCGACCGGTCAGATAATAAGATAGATGTTTTTATCATCTAAGAATTTCATCTACAGCAACAATTCTTAGTTCTAGAAAGCAATAATGTTGTCGTTTAGTTTTTGAAATCTTGCTGAAACAAAATAAAAATCCTCACGTTTATTATTTCTATTATTATTGTTGTTGTTGTTGTTGTTGTTATAGTTGGGTTGAATGGTAAAAGAGCGGAAGGTTTTCAGTCCTCCAGGCCTGATTTCAGTGTCCATTAGACCTGCATCAGCAGGACCGAAACACGTGAGACATTTATGACCTGTCTTTTAAAATTAGCTGTTTATTTGCTGACAGAAATGTTTCAGGAATAAGACAGAAGACAGAAAATACTATTATTCAGTTGAGAGGGTTGAGAAGAGAATCTGGAAGTCAAATGAATTAATTTAATAACTGTTCTTGTCAGATGTTGAACAAGGAAAGATTTTATGTTGACTGGATGGTTGAAGCTTTCAAATCCTAACCCCAAACCCATACATGGTGCAGAGCACATGACCAAAGACACAAATGAGTCCCATCTGTCAGTTTTATAACCAAAAGAAGACATGAGGTTATATTTCTGTTGAAACCAGTGATGTTGTTTGAACTTTTGGAGAAACGGCTTGACTTTAAACTGTAGAGCTCTGTCTGGTACATGGAACACCACTGCCCTCGTGTGGAGTAAAGCCAGGAAGCAGCACCAAACTCCAGGTATGAGCTAAACTTTTAATTCTGACGATTATGTGGCACCTTGATTTCAAATGGGAAGTTTACTTAGTGAAAATACATCTTCACCCAAAAAAATAAATAAATAAATAACAGAAGAGATTTAAAGCTATTTGAAACATCCCAAACAAATAAAGTTTATCTGTCAATCTCTCTCTCTCTCTCTCTCTCTCTCTCTCTCTCTCTCTCTCTCTCTCTCTCTCTCTCTCTCTCTCTCTCTCTCTCTCTCTCTCTCTCTCTCTCTCTCTCTCTCTCTCTCTCTCTCTCTCTCTCTCTCTCTCTCTCTCTCTCTCTCTCTCTCTCTCTCTCTCTCTCTCTCTCTCTCTCTGTTTCTGTGTGTGTGTGTGTGTGTGTGTGTGTGTGTGTGTGTGTGTGTGTGTGTGTGTGTGTGTGCTTTTGTAGATAGACAGAACAGCTCCTGATTAGCTATTACTGAAAGAATTCATATAATCAACCATCTCTCATTGAGTCTGTGCTCCTGGTGTCAGAGCCAATAAAACTGGATCAGAAGGATCATTGACTGGATCATTAGCTTGAACTGGTCCTATCTGGTTCTGGAAAGATCTTTTGTGTCTATCCACCTTTAGTTGTCCAAAACACGATGAGAAACAGCAATAAATAAATTTAAGTAACGTAATGAAACTTGCACTGAATCCGGTGAGCGTCAACATACTGAGGTCAGAACTTAGCAGAGATAAATCTTTCTGGGTTTGGGTTTGGAGCAAAAGGACAACCTTCAGATTAAACCAGACCGTCAATTTTATAAAAATTAATTTTAATTATGAGGGTTTTTTGTTTGAAAAGTGACCCAAACTGTAGATCACTGGTAACAATAATTTGTATATATACTAAAAGCAGCTTTACTCACAAACATAATTGTTGTCACGGTCCCATCAGTTGGATAACTCGCCGGTTTTAGCCTCTGTAACCATCTGACCAAGACTTCACAACTCCTGCAAACCAAACAACAGTTCTGTACCTAAAAGGTGATGAACGTACCTGCAGCACTCTCTAGCTGGAGCTCCTGAGCCTAATTCCTGAAGCAGCATCTCCACACTGGCTCTGCTTTTATAGTCTGGTTCCTGCTGCACAGTGCAAACCGAAGGAATGGATTTCTGAGACAAAACCTTCGCCTCAATTGATCTGCCCTTGAAGGAAATAAATACATTGTCATCAGCGAGGCTCTTTGTTAACGCTCCTGTTTGTGGGGCGGGAGAGTGATTCACTTCCGAACAGCCAACATCAATCCATGCACTATTAACAGACCCAGTTGGCATTACGCAGAGAAGGTTATCAATGCTGTTTTCTGCACCACAGTCAATCAAAAAATGCACACCTAGAGTTATTTGATTGGAGGTTGGAGATGAAAGTTCAACAGCTGATCCTATGGATACATGACTGAAAATGATGATGTTATTTGATCATTAAACCATTTTACCTGTAACACAGCCTATTGTGGGAGTTACCATTGTGTTAATGGGATTCCAGTTCTTCATTGTTGGGAGGCTCTTCTTCCTTTATCGGGAAAAACCAGGCCACGATGATTATTCAGACGTCCGGAAGACTATTGAGCTGCAGAAAGCAGCAGCAGAGTTGGCTGTTTGGAAGTTATAGCTGCTTTCACACAGTGGAAAAAGGGAGGGGCCAAATGTCTCCAGGGGCCCCGTTACCAATAATTAGCGATCAATCACGAATTAGTTTAAAAGCCTGAAAAGAACCCGAAGAGCACTATTAGACTGCAAAGATTCACTGCCCTCCAATAATTGCTTTGGACTTTTACAGGGAACCTTGTTGCTGCTGCTGGTTCCATCAGAGACTTATCACTGCCATAAACTACAGCAGCCCTCCTCACACACACACACACACACACACACACACACACACACACACATTAATAAACTTAGACAGTGCAAATCAGCAACACTGACATGAACTTTTCTCTTTCATCTATGTTATCAAAATATTTTCTTCCTCCAAGGATTAAATGATCTGAGGGGTGTATATCATGCTAAATCTACTTTTTGGAGCTTTTCACCATGTTGTATTCTCCCCATCAAAACACCTCCCAAAACTATTATGATTAGACGAAGATCAGACCCAAGTGCAGGTGAGTCAAGGTAGGCGTGGGAGGCAGCCCAGAAGGTTTAGGGCCTCTTTTTTAAAGCTACGTCAGGAACGAAGAGGCAAAACAGGGAGCATCCACAGATGAACCAGTAACAAGAACAGAACAAGCAGGGTTTAAAGGATAGTCAGAGAACAGGTGAACATGATACAATTAAGGGAAGGTGTGACTAATTGCTCTGAAAGGGGAAGACAAGACACACGCATGCTGCTCTCTCAGCTGCAGATCCTCTTCAGGTCTGCTAAACCACTGCAAAGGGTTAAGCAGAATAGAATAGAATAGAACTTTCTTGCCCACTGTAGTGGAAATTTTCCTTTCGCTCTCCAGGATGATTAATACATTCGTGCACATATACACGCATTGTGACACTGAGTACTGTGGTTGGCTGTGATTGTTTACATTGTTTTTTGTTTGTGACTGTGATTTCACAGCCTGCTTGTTGAACCAGCTCCAGTACCAGAGTGGATTTTCAGACAGATTACTTCTATAACCGGCACCATTCCAATCTTAAAACCACGTGTCGGAGGGCCAGGGTGGTGAGGAAAACCAAAATGCTAACCTCTAGCTGCTACCTGAACATTATGTTTATGTATTTAGCAGACGCTTTTGTCCAAAGTGACAATCGGCATGTTGCCCTTGAGGCTAACAAAAACAATTTCCAGTCAGTCGTAGGTGGCAGTGAGGCAGCATGATGAATCATGGAGAGGAGGGAACAAGGAGTGGACAGTAGAGAGGGGGGACGGGTGCAGGGAGGGTGCTAGTTTAGAAGATGCTCTCTGAAGAGCAGGGTCTTCTGGAGTTTCTTGAAAATTGAAAAGGAAGCCCCTGTTCTGGTAGTGCTTGGTAGGTCATTCCACATTTGTGGAACGATGCATGAGAAGAGTCTGGATTGTTCTGAGCGTGGTGTAGGCACTGCTAGTCGACGATCCTGTGATGACCGGAGCGGCGGGGCCGAGACGTAAGCCTTTGCAAGAGGAGTCAGGTAGATGGGAGCCGTACCATCTCGGACTTTGTATGCTAGTGTTAGCAATTTGAATTTCATGCGTGCTGCTAGCAGTAGCCAGTGGAGCTCAATGAACTGTGTCATGATTGCAGGAAGCTTCCTGACCCACATGAAAGAATCACCACAGGCAAGAGGTAAGAAATAAGAATATGGTTGTATTAAATGAAAAAATAATAAATGAAAAATAATAAACAGAGGACACACTTCCAAACGGGTGCTGGAAGAAGCCAACGGGAACTAAGGGTGAAACTTCGAAGCGGAAACCGGGCCGGGGTCTAAAAATAGAAAAACACACGGAGGTCAAACCAGGAACGAGAGAACCAGATATAAATAGAGGGAAGGGAGATCTTACGGAGCCAGAACAGAGGATGGATGTAAGGAGAGGGTTGGTCAGGTCTGGTCGATAGAGAATTGGGTTGAGGCAGGAGGGCTGTGGCTGACGGGTATCCAGGGCAGGTGAACAGCAGAAAGCAGATGGCCAGGGGAGATGAGTGACGATGTTGAGGTTCACACTCCAGGAAAGACGAGAACTCAGGCTGGGATCCGGTAGTAGATCTGGAGGCAGGACAGGCATTTAAAAAAACAGAACAAGCAGGGCAAGATTGCAAAAATATTACAAGTTCAGGAAGAGGCTGGAAGCTACCCAGGTGAGAGTATCAACCGGCGCTGGAGTGTGGACACGCCACTCCTTAAATCCCCTGGCCTTGCTGATGGGAAATTAGCAGCAGCTGAGGCTCTCCGACACGCCCACCTGCAAAGAGATTGAGGCCTAGTCCACACGTAGCCGGGGTTTTTTAAAAACGAACATCCGCCCCTCCAAAAACTTGCATCCACATCACCGCGTTTTAAAAACAAACTCTGTCCGCACGTACCCGGATAAATATGTTGTTAAGGACATGCCAGACCTGTAGGCGGCAGTACTTCCCCCGTTCTTAACCTCGTCCTTCATTTGTGGTCTTCCGCAAGGAGCAGTAATTCTGCTTGCAAAAACAAACAAGCAGAAAGTGCTTGGACAATTGATGGATCGGGTAGTGACAGAGCGCAGCTCTGAGGGCTTCCATGATGCCAGCTAGTGTGAACACAGGTTGCACACGTGATGTCAGCATTTTTTGTCGCGGAAAGTGACGTTGCGGACCTTAAAACTCCGGTTTTGTCCGTCCACACGCAGACACCCAAAACGGAGAAAACGCAGATCTTCACTTTGGCCGGAGTTTTTAAAAAGATCCGTTTTCGTGTGAAAAAACTCAGTTTTCGTGTGGATGACAGGCCAAAACGTAGAAAAATATCTACGTTTTGGCAGATCCCCGGCTACGTGTGGACAGGGCCTCAGAGAGAAAAACAGCAGACTCATGACAAACAGAGGGGTGACGTGTGTTCTTTTTGGCTTATTGAAGACCACACGTGCCGCTGCGTTCTGGACCATATACACATAAAATGCCTGCTGTTCATTTTAGTAGCTGTTGTTAAAAATGAAACGTCTTTACCACTCGCTAGGCCGTTGTGATTGTCTCAGGTCCCATCAAGCAATAGATTGTTACACTGCAATGAGACTGCAGGTATCTCCTGGTCTGAGAACCTGGCAGGGCCCAATGACTGATGGGGGGTCCTTTAAGACTCACATCAGGCATCTATATCTTCGGACTTCAGAACCAATCGTCATCAGAACAGAAAAGTTACAGATTATGTAGTTTGCCATATTTTGTTTCAGAGGTCAACAGAGACAGAGAACCTGATAATCACACAGGGGATCTCCCCCCGATGCACAAAGTACATCTGAACTTATCTCTTAAATATGTTACACACAAGTCTAAAATAATTCAAACCCTTTGCTTATTCTACCCAGTATATTTATTCTGTAGTGTGTACTAGCTATTGGGAGAGAAGGAAAAAATAAACAATAAAATGTTAAATAATGTTTTGATTTATATTGTATTAAAACAGCTGATGCAAGTTTGTTATAACAACCTGAGAACATGGTCCATGTTAAATCAGAACCCATACTGACCTAAAACTACAATAGAAATCCACTTAGGCAGCACAGCCAAAGCCTACCTCTTCAGAATGAAATGATTTCAGTAGAAAAGCCACTTTTTTCCAGGATTCTTCTACATCACAAATGATAATAACAGGCTAGTTTATCCTGTCGTCTGTAGATCCATCCCGGACAACTACACTTCCTGAACCTCCTGGTTTGGTTCAAAGAGACCTCCTAAATCAGTGGTTCCCTGGAGTTACATAGAGTCTGCTACCTCATGAGGGATACATGATTGCAGAGGATCTTTGCTGAGGTTATCAAGATTATATTTGTAAAAATTACATTTATAAAATCTCAATAACACATCTAGTAGCACAATAAAACTGCATGAGACTGTGTCTGTATAAACTTTGTAAATCATCACTTGTACTGAGTGTATACAGGTAGGATTGGGGTTGGGGGTCCTGGCTTGTCTTGGCAAAAACAAGGAGTTCCTCCAGGAAAAATGGTTGGGAACCACTGTCCTAATTCTCTTCAGCAGCAGGATCATTAGAGGCATGACATTTTTTACAGCCTGGTAAGAAATACTGGCTAGCAACGACACCACCAGCTTAGCCAATAGCGATGGCTGGTGTGGCTAATTCATATTCAAATGTAGAGTAGACGTTTTACCTGATGAGGGCGCTACAGTGGCAGTTTTAGGCAGGATAATTATAGTTTAGACAAGGTGCACTAAAATGCCATAATAATTCAATGTGCATTATTAGACATGCATTTATACAGTTTATCAGCAGAAAGAAGTTCATCTAATGATAGCTTGCATTTTAACAATTTACTGGCTAGAAATAATAGCGACAACGTTCTCTTCACCTGCACTTCTTCACAAGAAATGTTTGAGTTGTCAAGCTGGAAACATCACCTTCACCATGCAGAGTCAGCTACCTGGGATTAAGAATGTGTCAGATAACCAGAATGCTTGCCGTTAGTGAGAAGCTAGGAGATTCTTCTGCCTCTGGAGAATTGATTTTATTTACTTATATCTCTGCTTCCAGTAATCAGTGTAGCAGGAAAAAAACTCTTGCTCAATTTTCTGTTATTATTAATGTTATTGTTATTGTTATTATTATTATTGTTGTTGTTGTTGTTGTAATGAATAAAAAGGGTCAGTTTTCACCAGCGAATTGACACAGTAACCTTTCATGCACGCCAGAGCTGCAAAGTCAAGGTTATGCCAGCTGGAGGAATCAGACGTAAAAATCGACCTTTTGCTCACTTATTGTTCTTCAACGCAGACATAAAAAACTGCCAAGGTCTCCCACAAAAGCCCTTTCCTCCTTTATCTCAGACTGCTGGATACCTCACTCTGAATAAAAAGGGAACTTTTACATCTCATGTCTATCGGATCTGATCCATCCTTGTGTTCCCTCAAGAATCCTTCGGTCAGCACAGCAAAGACTGCTGGTCGTTCCCAAACACAGACTAAAATCTCGAGGGGGTCGTGCTTTCTCAGTACTGGGGCCGAGGCTCTGGAATGAGCTACCTACATGTGTCAAACAAGCCACCACGCTCTGCAATTTTAAGAGCCGTCTGAAAACACACTTTTATTCTTTGGCTTTTACTCAAGAGGAGTCTCGTTAATGGGTTGCTTTGCACTTTTTGCTCCCCCACCTAGATTTTATCTACATGTTTTTGTTGGTTTTTAAATGGTTTTATATGGTTTTATTTCTTTATGTTCATTTCTGTTGTGCAGCGCTTTGTTTGGTCCTTGGGCCATGTGAAGGTGCTATATAAATAAAGTTTAGTAGTAGTAGTAGTAATAAGTTAAATAATCATATGTGATGACTGAACAAGATGTTTAAATGAATTGTTTGAATAATATGTGCTTAAATCAATGAAGTTGAAATGAATGTTGCTCTTACAATGATCCATTCATATCACTAATCACTGTGTTTAATTTAACAAGTTAATCATTATCTACACTCATACACATCTTCATAAGATACAAATTAAGGTTAAGGTTCACCTCACATAACATTTAACGGTTCTTTATTCACAGAATTAAGATTCTTGTATCTGAAAGAAGGCGGGGCTTTCTAAGGGATGTTGGTAAATACCTAGAAACTTGTCAAATTCTGATTTGCCAGAATACACTAGAAATCCTAACATTGCGGTTTAATAAAACAGGAATTACTTCCCGAGTAATTCAGTTTCGAATCGAGTTCCGAACCGGCCAATTCGGAACATCCTTGGGACATCTCTTTTGACGTACGGTCAACCTGTTTGCACGCTGCAAGCTGACACAGCCAGATGGCTCCCTAAAAGCCGCATCCACTTTGGATGCAGACAAGCATTCCAGCTACTGTTGTGACCTGGAAACATCTCAAGACTGGACGGGTTGAATCAAAGTTAATCTACTGGCTTTAGGTGCCGTGAAGTCCACCCAACTTCTTACAATCCGGATCTGCTGGGGATCTCCGCCAGGGTTTGTAGACACAACAGATTGTGTCTGATGCTGTTTTATTAATAATCAACTCTTTAGTTTATAGCAGACAACAAATTATTTTACACCCAGATTTCACAATTTCTTTTATATAAAGGTTCTGATAAACATCTAGTTTACATCACATCCCCTCACACATCACATTCCATCACCGCATATCCACTCCATCACATCTCATTATTCATATCTTGTCATGTATAATCATTAGTTTAGAAAAGAATAAAATTCCTTTTTAACTATATACTGACTGTCTGAATTAATATGAAGTGTGTTTATGGTCCCTGAACAAGCAAGGAACCTTATAATCTTCTGATTAAACATTCAAAGATCAATCAGATTGATATTTCACATTTATATGGAATCATCACATCTTATTGGTCATATTTAATATGCAGTCATCACGCTATAAAGTGTGACTGCTACATTATTACTATTATTATTATTATTATATTATTATTATTATTATTATTATTATTATTATTATTATTATTATTATTATTATTATTATTATTATTATTATTATTATTGGGGTCATGGAATAAATGACTCAATACTTGGTTTTATTTTTTTATTTGGACTTTATTGTTACTCAACAACAAAGAGCTGGACTTAAAATCAACATTCCAGCACATGATCAGCAGATGAGGATTTTTTTTTTTTTACCATTTTGTAAAATTAAAGATGATTTGTTCATTTGGGTTAGGAATATAGCACCCGATGCCTGTGAAAATATAAAACATTTAAATATGTTTAAATGAAATTTGCATTAAGCTCGGTGTTTATGTCTGTACACTTACCGACATCAGGGCGCAGGATGTGGTTGTCTGATGTTTTGACCAACAACTCCCAGTAAGTGCGTTCTTTCTCATTCCCAGCCAGACCATTCACACTCTCCAGGAACGGGCCGTAGTTTGGATCCTCTGAGTAGGTGAATCTGTCAGATCAAGCGAAACATGGTTTCTGTTTAAACATCAGCTGATTCATCTGCCTGTTGGGACCAGGAGGTCTTCGCCGGGTTGGTTCATTAAATACTGGAGAATTAAATAAAATAATCATTTCTGCAATCAGAAGCAATCACAAATTCAAGTATCTTTTTAACACTTTACTTGTAACACATACACAGCCATATAATGTGTACAATCATATATGTACATACGATCATTTTTAGTAACACAGATGTCGTTTAATCAGGAAATAGTGAAAGAAATTAACTTTTATCTTGGACAAAAATCCTAAAATTTGAAAAAGTTAAAGCATGTAGAGCTTGAACAGCTTTATGTAGTTGAACTTTACTCCTCTGGTTCAATAGATTGGGATTTCTCTTGACTGTCTGAGTCTATTGCAAATTGCATAAAGCCCCGTTTGTAAAACTTTCAATTAAATATTGTTATTCAGACTGTTACACCCCCAGGGGTTCATAAATAGTGTAGGGACACATACATGTTTGCATCACTGCAGGGAATTTGACAAGTTTAGCTTGAGCATCATTTAGAATTTGAGCCTTTATATAAAGCCTCAGTAAGGTTCCTTCAGTGGTGATCTAATCTCTGGCTGCTGAACTTGTACAGAAATGACACAATTTATCCATTTGTCCAAAAAGTTTAAGTCGTACTTAAAGTCTGCATTAGAATTCATGAGTCTTCTCATGGCTCCGATAAGGATCCCTCTGTAGACCACCTCAGTGCTGTAGGTCAGCGGATCTTTGTTCAGCAATCTGTTCTTCACCACCATCTCGATGGAAGTTGACCCACTGTCTGAAGAAATAAGCACTTTAAAAAATGGTGACAGGTTCGTAGTGGGCGGTCAACTTTTTTAGAGCTTACTTTCTGTCAGAGTTCCAGGCAGCAGCAGCAGCAGGCCGGCGAGGAGGAGAGCAGGCACCTTCATCATAGCTTGCTGGTTCTGCACAAGTCAGGAAACTGAATGGTAGTGAAGAACTGGGACAAGGTGTTTTGTTCAGTCATCGCTGTTTACATAAAGGTGTGGACTGAACTTTATACTTCTGAAATCAAAATCTAATATCACCTTTTGCTCTTGTCACAAAGCAGGGTGTGTTCTGATAAATGGCCTTAAATACACAGTAACACACCAGTATGCTGCACCATGCAGCAGATCCAGAACCAGGACATGAGTGGATTAGAGACTGAACTGTTTCTGAAGGTTTTCTATTGTGGCTGCTTGAAACAGAATCAATTAGCAGAAATATCATATTAGCATGCAGATTTATAGCTTTAGATTTTTTTATTTGAAATAATCGTTAGTGTATTTAGGACTAAATTATCACTTAAACCAGAAGCAGGAAAAAAATCTTTCTGGGGCCTCCCTTGTTCTGCTGGGGGTCTTCAATCAATCAATCAATCAATCAATCAATCAAATTTTATTTGTAGAGCACCTTCCACAACGTTATCGGAAGCCCAAGGTGCTGAACAGCATCATAATAAGAAAAACATTCCCAGTACATGGGCATAAAAGCAAGATAAAAACATAAAACCATAAAATATCAAGCAAACAATATTACAAATAAAGAGAGATAACGGAATAAGACTAATCGATCAAAAACAAATGGTGGACAAAATAAAATCAAGCATCTGGGTTAAAAAGAAGAAGAATTAAAACCATAATGTCAGGGCAATTCAAAGAACCCTAGCGCTAAAATGCAATCAAATAAAAATGAGTCTTTAAACGAGACGTAAAGACTTGAAGGGATGGTGCCTGCCTAATGCTCAGTGGCAATTTGTTCCACAGAGTTGGAGCCAAAACAGAAAAAGCACGACAACCCCTCGATCGATATTTAGACCGGGGGACCACCAGAAGTTCCTGGTTGGCTGAGCGAAGAGACCGAGATGGAGAATACGTCTGCAAAAGTGCAGTAATGTACGAGGGGGCACTGCCCTGGAGGGCCTCATAAACGAGAGTTAAGATTTTAAACTTAGCTCGATATTGCACCGGGAGCCAGTGCAGAGCAGTCAGCACTGGGGTAAGATGCTCTCGACACCTAGTACCTGTCAGGAACCTAGCCACAGAGTTCTGCACAAACTGGAGCCGTGCAACCATGCACTGGGCCAGACCAGCATACAGAGCGTTGCAGTAGTCCAGCCAGGACAGGACGAAAGCATGCAACACAGACTCCAGATGAGCTCTGGACAGCAGAGGCCTGATCCTGGATAATTTTTTCAGGTTAAAGAAACAGGACCTCACCACTGTATTTACATGAGTGTCAAGATTAAGGGATGAGTCGATTTTAATCCCCAAATTACTGACCATTTTCTTTTCATAGGGGGTCAATGGGCCAAGGTCAATATCAACACCAGAACCATTTCTTCTGCCAGGACTAAGTATTATGACTTCCGTTTTGTTCTTATTTAGGTGTAAAAAATTAGAAGCCATCCAACATTTTATGTCCTTCAAACAGTCCAGTAAAGGAGAAACAGATCTATCCTCCCCACGTCGAAGAGGGAGATAGATCTGGCAGTCATCAGCAAAAAAATGAAATTTCATATTATGCTGGCGAAGGAGGACTCCAAGAGAAAGCAAATGCACTGCAAATAGGAGAGGACCAAGGACAGAGCCCTGTGGCACACCCCAATGAAGTTTCACGCTGGGTGACGCCACCTCACCCATCTGAACACTAAATGTCCTGTCTTGAAGGTAGGAGCGAAGCCATTGGAGGGCCTGCCCAGAAGGACGTGGTCGACTGTATCGAAAGCTGCAGATAAGTCCAGCAATAGTAGGACAACATTGTTGTCCATGTCACAGGCTAAAAACGTGTCATTAAAAACCATTAAAAGAGCAGATTCAGTGCTGTGACCTTTCCTGAACCCTGACTGAAAGGTCTCTCATAAATCATTTGTGTCCATAAAGGCAACCAGTTGTGAATACACGACCTTCTCCAGCAGTTTTGAAAGAAAAGGGGTTTTGAGATGGGCCTGTAATTAGCAAAGGTTGTCACATCCAGCCCTGTTTTTTTAACATAGGATGAATAACAGCCTTCTTAAACGAAGATGGAACCATACTAGAAGTAAGACTGCCATTTATGATTGCCAAAAGCAAAGGGCCTATCACTGGAAAGAGTTCTTTAAAAATTCTAGGGGACAGCACATCACAAGGAGAGCCATAAGGTTTAAGCTGAGCGACCAGTATTTCCAAGTCCGATAAGGATACAGTCTCAAATGTTTCCGTGTAGCCTGGAGTGGCTCTGGGGTTAGAGAGTCAGGTGGTGAGTTTGTAATGGCAGCTCGAATAGCTGTAACGTTATCAACAAAAAAATGAAGAAAGTCAGTACAAGTTTCAACTGTGGGAGGCAAAGAGCTAGAATCAGAGAACTCAAGTAGCGAATTTACTACAGAAAAAAGAGTGTGTGGATCATGAGAATTTTTTTCCACGATATCAGCAAAGAATTTCACCCTTGCTTCCTTAAGAGTTTGCTGATAGTTAAACAAAGATTCTCCGAATATCTCACGAGAGACTTGGAGTCTGTCTTTCTTCCATTTCCTTTCTGCCCTCCTACAGGATTGCCTGCAGGCCCGAACATCATCAGAAAGCCATGGTTCATGCCTAGGCCTTGTCTTTCTAATCCTAAGAGGTGCAATTGTATCCAAAATGTTTTTGCAAATACTGTCAAATTGGAGTGTAAGCTCCTCTGCATTAAGTGACAATGTGTGTAGCTCACTTCCTTCTGCACATAGGAGCTCGCTAAGCTCAATAATCTTTTCTGCATTTAAAACACGATGAAATCTCACATGAGAGGAAGCCACAGCAGGCACGCAGGGCAAATTAAAATCACATTAAATGGGCGAGTGATCAGAAAAAACCGGGCTCAGTATCTCTACACCAGCAACAGAGAGACCAATAGAGATCACTAAATCCAAGGTGTGTCCTTGCGCATGAGTAGGACCCAGGAACCACTGTGACAGATTAAGGGAGCCCAACAGATGTAAGAAGTCTTTAGCCAATGGCTTATCAGGGCAACACACATGAATATTAAAATCACCAAGAATCAAAACATGATCATACTTTAGCATGTTTACAGACAGGAGGTCAGAGAAGTCCTTTAAAAAGTCCCCATCAAATTTAGGAGGACGATATATCAACACCACGAGCAACAGGGGAGGTGGGCCAAGTTCAAACAGGCACATTTCAAAGCTGGAAGGAGGATTCGACGGAATAAGCTGTTTACAGTTGAAGTGAGATTTATACACAACGACCAGTCCACCGCCTCTGCCAGACGACCTCGGGACATTAAAACAGCTACAACCCACTGGTAGTAGTTCCAGTAAAGCACTCGAATCTCCCATAGGCTGCCAGCTCTCACATATGCACAGGAATTCCAACCCCTGTGCAACAAAGAAGTATTTCAAAATGAAAGTTTTATTCATTACCGACCTGGCGTTGACCAGACCTAGCTGTGTGAGATGTGGAGTCGTAGGCTCAGCGCTATTTAAGCCCAGGGACGTGGATGCTACCCCTGTACAAGTCACCGGGTGGAGATTCGCTGGGTTGACTCCCCTCCATCGGCACTGAGACACTGGACGAAAGCGCGGGTGCGCAGTCTCCTCTTCAAATCCCACCAACGTCATGAGGCAGGACGGGCCGGCTCCAACAGGCGTGACGGTGCCACAAGATGACAGCTGATACCCGTCAGCTCAGCAAGCTCCCTACGGGACCGTGACAGCTTGGACCGTAGTCTCACCCGCCGTCCACCACGCCTTCCACGACCCCTACAACGCTTCCTCCAGTTAGCCTGATCCAGGAGCCGTCGAGGCACAAGCGGTGGTGCCGAGCGGCACTGGCATGAGGACGAAAAACCGGAACTCCTCCAGCGTGTCCAAGCACCCGGTTTCACCAGGCCAGCAGCCGATCGAAGTTCTAGAAGAGCCTCTCGGTCATAAGTCAGCAACAAAGTCACATTACACACGAAAATACTCAAAAATAATAAAAAGATTAAATATCTGACAGGAGACAGACGGCTTGCCATGTACACCGGCGCCATCTTGCCTTACAAGTCCCAGTGGTCAGGTGGGCAATGACTGCGAGATCTGGAGAAGTTGTGGTTGGAAGCAGCAGCATCCCAATCTGAACCCAAGCGGTGTTTTGTTTTTGGACTTCTATGCTCATCATGGATTGTCCATTACAACACCATGTTCAAGCATAAGGGTGGTGCACCTGGCACCAGTATACCTTGGGCTGCAGCTCAATGAACAACTTTGATGTCATCTCATCTGATCTGTAGCTGCATGTTTTAGGCACTCGGGTGGAGAGAGGGATGGAGCTGACAACTAACTACTTCCTGGTTGTGATTTGGCTCCAATGGTAGGGAGGGATGCTGGTCAAACCTGGCTGGCCCAAGCATACTGTAAGGGTCTTCTGGGAGCATCTTGCAGAGTTTTTTGTCAGAAGGAGCTTCAATTCCCACCTCTGACATTGACTTGTGTTCCTTGCCTCCATTTTTGAAGCAGCTGACTGAAGCTGTGGCCACAAGGGGATCATTCTTCTCAAATTTGCTGGCAGACACCGGTGGTTAGGGATGCTTTTCAGCTGAAGAATGAAACCTATCTTTTCTTTTTGGCCTGTTGGACTCCTTTGGCAGCTAGCAGGTACATGCAATCCAAGCAGGATGGGGCTGAGGAAAAAACCCAGGTGTCAGAGGTATTTTGTGGGGCCATGGAGGAGGGCTTCCTTATGGCTTCCTGGGGATTCTAGAATCACACGAGGGGTATGCGATGCACTGCCAACACAGTTTATCATGGGGACATCAACTCAGAACATCATGGGTTGGTGGGCAGAGTACTTCAAAAACCTCCTGAATCCCACCTGTCTTTCTGTGAGGAAGTAACACCTGGGAACTTGGGAGGTTGGGGCACTCCAGTATCTGGTTCTGAGTTCACCAAGGTAGTTGAAGACCTCCTCAGTGGAAGGGCCCCAGGGTTGGATGAGATCCATCCATAGTTCTTCCAGGCTCTGGATGTTGTGGTGCTTATTT